CGTCAGTCTGTCTGTCTGTCAGTCTGTCTGCCAGTCTGTCGGTCTGTCTCTCTGTCAGTCTGTCTGTCGGTCAGTCTGTCTGTCGGTCTGTCTGTCAGTCTGTCTGTCTGTCAGTCTGTCGGTCGGTCGGTCGGTCTGTCAGTGGTCTTCCTCTAACATTGTGGCTCTGAGGCTGATGCCAGTGCTGCCTTTGTATGTGTGACTGTGAGAGTGTGTGTGTGTGTGTTTGTATTTGCTCCACTGACTCCAGGTCAGTGTTAATCGTATTAGCTCCAATCACATGCATGCAATATGAACAAAAACAGGCTGTGCCCACCAGCAGCCCCCAGAACAGGTCCGTCGCCAGAGTCAGGTGTAAAAACAACTGTGATCAAAATAGAGATTATCTTAATCCCTGATTAAACCTTTTTAATAGAACATATAACAAAAACCTGACGATTCCAGTGACACAACGTCAGTTGTTTCTCATTTCCTCAGACCATTGTTTTGGTCTGTGATTATGTTAAATGTAACGACACAGTTCACTTAGCCTTTCCCCCCCGACTCTGACTAGTATTTATTTCTGGTTTTGTACTTTTGTTTCTCTCTGACTTTACATTTACATTTTGCATTTCTGGTTTTGTACTTTTGTTTCTCTGTGACTTTACAGTTATATTTTGCTGCTGCTTCGCCGTTCTGTTTTTGATTGTTTGGTTGTTTTTTGGTTTTTTTTTTGTCTTGGTTTTGTATCTTCTTAAAACATTTGGCCATTTTACTTACCGTAGCCTCAGCAGCCATAGCATTAGCATGAGGATCAGATGAACATGGTTAGCTTACACCATATTTCAGGAGAGCAGATCATTATATTCATATTTATTTAAATTAGTTTCATGATAATTTATCATTCCCATTCTGATTGCGTTTCTCTGTTTCACACAGGTAAAATGATGCACGTGTGTGTGTGTGTGTGTGTGTGGTAGAAGGAATCTTGGTTGACGGAGAAAAGAAAACGCTGGATGTCATTTTTCCCGCGCGCTGCCTTATCAGAGGGATAATGGAATTATGCACAGGTGAAGAGCGGGCGTGAATGCTAATGCACTGGCAATGAATATGTTGTATATATTTGTACACAAACATAAACACACACACCCTCAGACGTAGACATGGGAGGTGTAGCTAGATTTGTTGTTGCACCTGTTCTAAATGAGGAAACCGCGTGCAACCATGACAAATGAGGCTCGCCTCTGGGAAGCCTGCGAGGCGACGGCTGTCACTGTGTCTTCGCGCGTGTGTCTGTGTTTTCTCTGTGTACGTGGCAAACACACCGCATCCTGCTAATTGCTTCCTGCATTTGTGTTGACGATCGTATGGAACGGTCCAGACCGATTAGAGAAGAGGAAACGCTGAGCTGAAATATCTGGGGCTGTAAAAAGGACAAACTCTAAACTCATTTTCTCCTTCAGTTTTATGAAGTCAGGACGATAAGCTAACATCTGGTGAGCTTACATGAGAAGAGATATCAGCGTCATGTCACACATTAATTAAATCCGTACTAAAATATCCTGGCTGGATTTTTTTATCAGGATATATTTCAAGATGAAAAGAAAAGTAAGAATAAACTTCCAAGTAAAAAAATCAGGACACAGGCTGTTTTTAGAAATGGAGCTGTCATATAAATTGTTGTTAGAGAGTCTTTTCAAAGGAAATATTTTTAGCTGGGAAAAGCAGGCGGGTATTTATTTGGACTGAAATAAATAAAGACTTAATTGCTGGAGGAATGTGGAGAAATGTGATAATTAAAGATGAATATAAAAAGTGCCGTCGGAGGAAAGTGAAAAGTCACAAACAGAACTGAAATGAAGAACTTAATATGGAGAGCGTTAGAAGCAGAACGATTCATTTGGACTTTTTGTTTTTTTTCCGCTAAAGCTGAAATCAATCAGGAAGCAAATTTGTGGGATAAACGAGTCCAAATGGTGTCGTATAGGTTTGAAATAGAAAGTAATGGAGTCAACTGAAAGTGATTTTGCACTTTTTTGGTGAATTAAATCCGAGCAGAGTTGTTACTGCGCCTTTTTCTAAATGTATCTCTAAAGGAAAGAATACAGATTGGATGCAACAGTGCGTCTTTGTACACAGATGGCGACACAGTAATTGGATGATTGAACACAATGAACTTTGCCTTCAGTGGAGAAAATAGTCTTTGGATACGAGGCTGTGTTCAGAGGAGATCTCTGTTGAAGAAATAGATTAGTGAAGTGGGGAAATTATTCTTGCCCGAATCGGAATTTGTTATTAACGCACACGCACCCACACACGCACGGGTCCAAAGACTCAGAGCTGACCGTGGTGCAGCTGATACGGCGCAAGCTGCTTCCATTTCCCAGGGAAGCGGTGGAGATGAAAGGGAGCAGAGATTGGTCTCCCAGCCTCTGATCTGCTGCTGCAGCTTTGACACCGGCCTCCACAAATGCACAGGAGAACAGAGAGACCAGCTCTAAACTGACAACCCATCCACCGCCAACAACAGCACTGTCTCTGCTGCTGCTGCTGCTGCTGCTGCTGCCGCCGCCGAACGGGGACTG